CTCTTCTCCAGGCTGAACACCCCCAACTCTCCCAGCCTGGCCTCCTAGCAGAGGGGCTCCAGCCCTCGGAGCATTTTAGTAGCCCCTCGGATCACTTCAGTAGCCCTCCTCAGGCCCCACTACAACCATTCCATGAAATACTGTGCTGTACCTCCAAATGCACGGCACGGAGCACCAGGACCCAAGTCGCCCGGCGATGCTCGCAGCAGGAAAATCACATCCTGACACAGATGCTTCAGAGCTACCGCAAGAAGCTACTCAAGAAGCAATCGCCGTACTTTTGTAACTTAATCTAAGTATTCCTGGTTCCGTCTTTCCTGCTCACAGCCAGGTGGTTGCTCCCAGCTCTGGGCCACAAGTTGCTTTTTCCTGCAGTGTTATTTATTAGGTACTTTTGATATATCCTGCAACCACAATAAAAAATACATCGCTACTGAACATACAAACTGGGAAAACAAAATGATCCCAGAATACAGTCTACACAAAGGTTGTTAAAATATGGGCTGAGTTAATTAGCAGCTAATAAAAGACTAAATTCTTCCACTAGCTATTCCGGTATGCGAGATCCACTGATTTCACTGGGGGCCGTTTGTGTCTGCGGGCACGAAGCCATATTTACTGTGGTAACCATGAATGCAAATCACAGAACGGTCAGGGCTCGCCTGAGCCAGGACGGGGACAGGGATGGGGATGGGGACAGGGATGGGGACAGGGTGGGGGTGCTGCACAGCCGTACAGACAATGTCACGTGCCACACCGGTGCAAACGTGGCTCAGGAAGGCCACAGCCACCTCTGTCCCTCCCAGCCCACCTTCCCCCAGCCCAGTAAATCCAGTGTGAGCAACGTCCGGGGGTCACTTCCACCACTGGGAGTGTGACTGCCTGTTTCAAGCACGGAAATTGGAGCTGGACTCCCTCCTATCTCCCTTCCTTCCATATAAATTGTTGATGTTTCCAGATCTGAATCACTGGTCACATCCTTTACAAACGTGAGTCACTGTGGTACTGCAGGCTCCTTCAACCAGCGACGCCTCTTGTGCTTTCCGAAACAGCCCCAGGGTTTCCACTTGAGCTAAATTCCTCCTCTTGGGGATGTGGCTGCAGGTGCTTTATCTGGTGCAGCTACAAGGCGACTTCCCTGGCAGGAGGCACGGCACCAGAGCGGTGCAAAGGGCCAGCAGCGCCCATGGCAGTGCAGGCCATCGCCTGGAGGGCTCCCAAGCGGCTGAAGATGCTCCTTGGCCGCCCCAGGGCTGCTTGGCCATTGCACGTCCTCCTTCCCTGTGGTTCGTGGCAGAAAGGGATGGCCTCTGCCAGCAAGGAGCGCTGCACACTCCCCCCAGGACGAGAACAGACTTGGAAATGCCACAGAGATTTATGATGTCGAACACTTTTTGTATTTTTTTTTCCAAAGCCCCTTTTGCAAAGCCTGGATAAATTGATTACCTGCTGATAGGGGAGTGGGAAGGGCTGTTTATTGGGAACAAGAGTTTGTTGGGATCAGAAGAAACCAGTAGGAGTGACCCACTGCTGCTTCCTTTGATCTCGGCAAGATGTGCCCAGAGAAGGCTCACCAGAGCCAGAACAATAACGCGAGGTGTGCTGGCAGCATCGGCCCCACCGCCGCTCAAGCTGGTACGGCAATGGCAGGCGTCTGCCTTAGGAAAGGCAACTTTGGTGACAGCCAAAATCCTGCCGGTGGCAAACTTGCGGATGCTGTGTGTTGGTTTAAAAATTCACATGTGACAACAGAGAGTCTTACACCAGCGACTTGGCACACGGCTGCGGGAAGTGACCGCTATGGTACGATATGCTCCTGCGGGGGGGTTGGACTAGATGACCTCTAGGGGTCCCTTCCAACCCAAAACATTCTATGATTCTATGATTCTATGATTCTATGATTCGGTGGGCGCGAGGCATCTTCTCCGTCCACTTTTAAAATTTCCATGAGGCACCAAGCGATACGTCTTTTGGCACGTAAATCCCTCACTAAAACCCCAAACACAATCCCGAGGCGAATTGTGCTCGGACTATCGGAGATCTGAGCTAGACTGGTGAAAAGAGCAGACGCCTGTGAGCGCCGGGCTGTCCTGAGGGTCCCGCAAGGAGGCCGTTTGGGAAGAGAGCGGGCCCTGGCCGGCACGAGTCTTGATTCAAAGGGCACGACAAAGCTCTCCTGCTGCCACCAGCATCTTGCCATCTGGCATTGGCCTGCGGCCACCTCTGGGGTGGGACCTGGCCACTGAAAACAGGACGTGAAGAATAACAAGTCTGGTTGGGAGGCAAAATGTTATTAAATAAACTGGCACGCTCCGTCGTGCAGCAAGAGACCCTGCAAGCTGCACCGGGGGCTTTCGGCAGTCAGGTTTTGTTACACGAGCGTGGCTCACCGCCATCCCTCTGCCACCATGCCTCACCCACTTCTCCAGCTTTGCCCATGTGCCGTAATCCAGCTGCGCTGGTGGGACAGTCCCTGGGGATGTGCCATCACCGTGGCCCTTCCCCGGTCTGCAGGAAGAAGCTATGCCGTACCCAGCCGGCAGAACAGCAGCACCTGACACCACGGAATTTACTGAGGAGAAGAAGGGAAGCACTACTAGAGCATTTCGCCACTTAACTCCACACTATAATTGTCCAAAGAACCCCAATTATCCCCATAGCATAAAGGGGGAAACTGAGGCACAAAGATGGCCACTCCCAGTCCTGGGCCCCACGGAGTACGAGGCTGCACAGGCATGGAAGGAAAAGTCAATCCCCGCTCTGAGCTTCGTCGAGGGTGGATTTGCTTCAGGTGGTGACTTGTTGCACTGTCCCAGGTATTCTGCTCACAACACCGACGGGAGAGCGCTACCGAAATGCCAGCACTTGAAAACGAAAAGATACAAACCCGCCAGCCCCTCGCCCACGAGGGCTCTGAAAATGCCCCCTAACCCGAGCGCTCAGCTGCTGCCCGTGCTGCCAGCGTACGATGTTTTAAAAGACGTTAGCGGCGCAAGTACATCATCAGTATTCTCGAGGCATTAATTCCGAAGGACTTGGGTTAAAACGCAGCCTACGATGGGTAGTGCGGGCGTGTGCTCGACTAAGGGCCGCATGGAAGGTTGTCGCTGTAAAGCATACAGCTGATCCATCGATCCAGGACTGATCGATCTCTCCCTTTCTACTTCTCTTTTTCTAGTTCTGAACAGAACGATTTCCTCCTTTCTCTGTTTTTCGCTCTTTTTTACACATCTCTCTTATAAACCCAGTCTACACCCTCGCTTCCACATCCAGGTAGTTCTGGACTCGCAGGACACCCAGGAGAGAGACCAAATAAGCAGAAAAAGGGTATTTTTGAAGAAGCCAAGCATCTCCTTACTTTTGGGAAGCTGTGCTCTGAACCTCACCGTCTTTTTGGCAGGCTCAGTCCCTGCTGCCGGACCCTCGGTGCTAGGGAGCGATCCCTTCTCCCCTGGCCCCCTCCCCAGGGGATCTCCTCCCCGCTCCTCTCTGCAGAGTGCTTTTGGTTATACTTTTAAACACTCAGCCACTTTCTTGGCAGAACCTCCCCCCCACCCCAGTGCCACCTGGCTGCTTTTCCATCTCCCAGGAAGTTTTGCAGTGACCTGTGACATGGGGGGGACGACACACACATCTGACAACGTGCCATCCGCTCCCGTTCCCCCCCCGTTGAGCCCAGCCTGGACACGCTCCCATCCAGCCGCACACACATCCCGACACTCGCATCAGCAGTGAGTCAGAAACAAAGAAGAAAAACCCTCGTGGGCTGCGATTCGCCCTTTATTGTGAACTCCAGACGTCATACGCACACGGCTATAGATGGAGCTCGGGAGCCCAGGCCAGCCCAGTGCAAGCCCACGAGAGCTCAGTGATGGTGGTGGTGGTGCTGGTTGGCGGGGGGGGATGCTGTGTCTGTATGGCTAAGGATGTGTTACAGAGGCGGGCTGCTCTCCATGTAACCAGAGAGCTTCTGTGATCTACAAAGGGTGAAGGCAGGGAGGGAGGACGAGGAGGTAGCCT